GAGATATGACCATCTGAATAAATGAACACTGAGTTCCCATAGGACATATATTCATTCAGATGGTCATAACTCAGCCAATATTTAACATATTCAATTGGTTTTCTACATTTGTACATTCTTTTTGGTGTTCTTTCGGAATATGGAGAAAAAATTGAGAAATTCTAAAATTAGATTTTTGATGACGTCACACTTCACCACTCTATAGGGGTTGGGTGCAGGGAGGGAGGAGTTTCCCCCCTCCCCCGCGAAGCGCGGAAGCTTTGACGTTTCATTTAATTATTACTCTTAATCCTTGTCTGAATTCATTTTCGCCCATTCCTGCGCGAAGCGCGCAAGCTTCCACATTTTATTACATTATTAGAGAAAGAAGATGATGATATAGAACGTGCCCTCCCCCCCCCCCCCCCACGGCTACGTGCCTGATAACGAGACTTGGGGTGCGTTCAATCGACACCTTCTCACCCTAGAGTCACGGATTTCAAAGACGTTTTGTTTAAAACACGGTTGCGTTCAATCGAATTTTCGTCGGTCGTAAAAATAAACGTGTTTAAAATCACAAACATTAAACGCTGAAAGAGATGCGTTTTGTATCATAATTGTGCAGAATCACGGTCGCTAAAATTCGATTGAACGAACGGAGATCTCAATCATGATTATAGGACATCATTATCGTGTCCTGTTCCGTCATGTTATTCCTTGTTTTCCTTCTCTCATTTTCTCTTTCTGTTTTTATTATGTTATTCTTCGTTTTTCCATCTTTCATCTTCTCTTCTATCTTTCCATTACCTATTCTTTATTGTTTTCTCTTTCTGTCTTTCTTTATGTTATTCTTTGTTTCTTCCTTCTGTTGATTGTTTTTCCTTCTATCACATTTTCTTATGTAATTCTTTGTTTTTTCATCTTTCATCTTCTCTTCAATCTATCATTATCTATTCTTTGTCGATTTTTCTTTCTGTCTTTCCTTATGTAATTCTTTGTTTCTTCCTTCTTTTATCTTGCTTTATGTTTTTCTTTGTTTTTATCATGCTATCCCTTTCTGTCTTTCCTTATGTAATTCTTTGTTCCTTACTTCTATTACCTTCTCTTATGTCATTCTTTGCTGTTTCCTTCTTTCACCTTCTTTTATGTTTAAAACAAAATCTAACGCTTTCTCTTTCTGTCTTTCCGTATGTTATTCTTTGTTTTTTCCTTTTTTTCCCCTTTTTCTTTTGTTATTCTTTGCTTTTTTCCTTCTTTTATCCTCTTTTATGTTATTATTAGCTTTTTCCTTCTTTCACACTCTTTTATGTTTTTTTTAAATTTTCATCATTCTATCACTTTCTCTTTCTGTCTTTCTTTATGTTATTCTTTGTTTCTTCCTTCTTTTGCCTTCTTTTATGTCATTCTTTGCTTTTTCCTTGTATCACCTTCTCTTATGTTATTTTTTGTTTTTTTATCATTCTATCACTTTCTCTTTCTGTCTTTCCTTATGTAATTCTTTGTTCCTTCCTTCTGTCACCTTCTCTTATGTTATTCTTTGTTTTAATCATTCTTTCATTTTCTCTTTCTGTCCTCCCTTATGTTATTCTTTGTTTCTTCCTTCTATCCCTTCTCTTTCTGTCTTTCCTTATGTTATTCTTTGTTTCTTCCTTCTATCACTCTCTCTTTCTGTCTTTTCTTATGTTATTCTTTGTTTCTTCCTTCTATCACTCTCTCTTATGTTATTCTTTGTCTTTTCTTCTATCCCCTTCTCTTTCTGTCTTTCCTTATGTTATTCTTTGTTTCTTCCTTCTATCCCCTTCTCTTTCTGTCTTTCCTTATGTTATTCTTTGTTTCTTCCTTCTATCACTCTCTCTTATGTTATTCTTTGTTTCTTCCTTCTATCCCCTTCTCTTTCTGTCTTTCCTTATGTTATTCTTTGTTTCTTCCTTCTATCACTCTCTCTTTCTGTCTTTCCTTATGTTATTCTTTGTTTCTTCCTTCTATCACTCTCTCTCTTTCTGTCTTTCCTTATGTTATTCTTTGTTTCTTCCTTCTATCACTCTCTCTTATGTTATTCTTTGTTTCTTCCTTCTATCCCCTTCTCTTTCTGTCTTTCCTTATGTTATTCTTTGTTTCTTCCTTCTATCCCCTTCTCTTTCTGTCTTTCCTTATGTTATTCTTTGTTTCTTCCTTCTATCACTCTCTCTTATGTTATTCTTTGTTTCTTCCTTCTATCCCCTTCTCTTTCTGTCTTTTCTTATGTTATTCTTTGTTTTTTCCTTCTATCCCCTTCTCTTTCTGTCTTTCCTTATGTTATTCTTTGTTTCTTCCTTCTATCCCCTTCTCTTTCTGTCTTTCCTTATGTTATTCTTTGTTCCTTCCTTCTATCACTCTCTCTTATGTTATTCTTTGTTTCTTCCTTCTATCCCCTTCTCTTTCTGTCTTTCCTTATGTTATTCTTTGTTTCTTCCTTCTATCCCCTTCTCTTTCTGTCTTTCCTTATGTTATTCTTTGTTTCTTCCTTCTATCACTCTCTCTTATGTTATTCTTTGTTTCTTCCTTCTATCCCCTTCTCTTTCTGTCTTTTCTTATGTTATTCTTTGTTTTTTCCTTCTATCCCCTTCTCTTTCTGTCTTTTCTTATGTTATTCTTTGTTTCTTCCTTCTATCCCCTTCTCTTTCTGTCTTTCCTTATGTTATTCTTTGTTTCTTCCTTCTATCCCCTTCTCTTTCTGTCTTTCCTTATGTTATTCTTTGTTCCTTCCTTCTATCACTCTCTCTTATGTTATTCTTTGTTTCTTCCTTCTATCCCCTTCTCTTTCTGTCTTTCCTTATGTTATTCTTTGTTTCTTCCTTCTATCACCTTCTCTTATGTTATTCTTTGTTTTTTTAACATTCTATCACTTTCTCTTTCTGTCTTTCCTTATGTAATTCTTTGTTCCTTCCTTCTGTCACCTTCTCTTATGTTATTCTTTGTTTTAATCATTCTTTCATTTTCTGTTTCTGCCCTCCCTTATGTTATTCTTTGTTCCTTCCTTCTATCCCCTTCTCTTTGTCTTTCCTTATGTTATTCTTTGTTTTTATCATTATATCACTTGGTTTTTGAAATATCGCGATAATTGAAATTGGGAAAAAAGGACAGAGTCGACATACCCCCATAAATGGATGATCGGAAGGACTGACGGACGAGCGTGTGGGTAACAAACGGACACACGGACAGATTAACTAAAAACGTATTGCCTCCAGACGTCACTACGTTTGGAAGGCATAGAAAGACCCGCCATGCGGTTGTGAAAATACAGTACAACGAAATCACACACTGAGATAGACCGCCGTGTGATATGTTATAGCGCCACCTCGTGTTGGATTCCGTATAGTCATATAATCGCGATCTGCTTCCGCAAGGGATTACGTGACATGCAGTCGTCACCCCTATGATAAACCAAAATTGAATCAATAAATTGTTCTAAATTTAGTCATATATTAAAGATTATAGTCTAAAGTAGATAAAAAAGATGAATTTTGCGTATCGTCACGGGAAAAAAATCTTGAAATGTGGACCCTAAATATATGCTTATTTTTGTGATGCCCCATTTAATGTTATTCGTTGCCTTGCTCAAGAATACTCACATATCTCTTCTAAAAGTTATATTTCCGTTAAATTCACTAGTCTATATATATATATTATGACTTGGTATATGAAACTGTGATAGAATGTGAGTAAAGTGGCATACTAATGCAAAGTATGACTTATCGAATATCACTCTGGCGCCCTCTCGTGTTCAAATTTTGCAAAGACTCGTTGTTCTGTTCCCTCGGTTGCACATAGAGTGCGCTATTTTAGCTGTGTCTGTTCCGTAGGAGAATATGTGTATAAAGGGATAATAGTTATGGTTAACGTATGATAGCGTTAGGGGGGGGGGGGGGGGGGGGGGTTGAGATGAGAGATTTAAAAAAGGTTGGAACTTGAATGAGGCTATGGATATATGAATTAAAGGAACTATAAATGCATGCAAATGATAATACACACACGTGCAAACAAAAAATACGTACGTATCCTATTTTTTTTCTTTTCGGTTCATTCTGTTTTGTGCTGAATGTTTCTGGATATTGAATCTCTTCTGTCTTTTCCTCCCTTTTGCGATGTACTTCATTTTTAGTTCCACCACATCCAGTGTTATGAGTATTACTTCCATTTGATAAAGGAATACTGGTCCTAAATTCACCTTTCCTTGTTGTATCCATCTCTATATATGCTTCCCATCTGCAATCAATTTCCTTATAAACTAATCCTCCAACCCGTATCTTCGAGCATCAGTGAATATATATACCTAACGTATTGAATATTCATTTGCTGTTCCATATTCATGAGGCATGCTGAGCGCGCGTATAAATTATGCAAATCAGACTGTGACTCATTCACCTTAAGTATCCAACCAAAAGTCTTGTTTCATCAGGCGTGATATGATGTGTTACCAGCCAATAGGAATCGTCGTGTCATTCCGCCCATACGAGTTGGTTCAGGGGTCACGATTGTTTACAAACTTTAGCACAGGACAGATTTTCCAATTCAAAACATTATTTAGTCCTGTTTATAAAGTGTTCCTATTTAATAGATGTATTTCTGTATAACCACAAGTCTAAAATTTGTCCTGTGATCACATAATTTATCATCATCCGACCCAGTTTGTTCTCGACATCTCTCTCTCTCTCTCTCTCTCTCACTCTCTCCCTCTCTCTAAACCTATATTGTCTACCTGTCAATCCATCTGAAGCTGTTATGCCTTTTCTCTCTGATTCTAACTCTCTTCCTCTCTATCTCAATCACATATATTGTTTTCTCCTTTCCTCTCTCCCTGCCTTTCTTCTTTCCATTTTCTCCCTTTAAAAAAATCCAATCCTAACATTTCCCTTCTTCAATTTTCCTTTCTTCTTCCGTTCCTTCGTTCTCTCTCCGTGCACTCTAAATATCATGCTTCACTTAAACTGTATCGAAATCTAATCGCACATATTATATATAAGAAAGACTATGTAATCATGTTTTTTTTTTATCGCATTGAATCAATTTGCTAATAAAGTATTTTATTCTACCAATCAAGAGATGTAAACAATTATTCGACTGAAAAATGTCACAATTTCATAATTAAATATGCAACGTTATAATATTATACATATACAATGATATCATATTAATTCAATCAATGATTGAAATAGAATACATATGTCAGTACTTCTGCTTAGAAAAGAAAAATTCGCATACTAGCGCCTAAATCTATAGTCGGCTTGATAGTATGCAACAACAATATATCACATACAGACCAAGTGAGTTAAAATAATTAAATTACTTAATTATGCTAGTATTTGCCAGTTTAAGGAAATAAAAACAGTTGAAAGAACCATTATGATCAATTTACTCAGACACCAAAATAAAAGAGTGCAGATTGACATTGTATAAAAAGTAAGAGAGATAAATCTGTATATAATCTTAGAATAAGAATATTCAAAAAGTCAGAATGTTTAGATTTTTTAATACAATGTTTCTTTACCATATTCCTAGTTAGAAGGGGGGGGGGGTCGATGAGTCATAATATTCTTAGCTTATATTAAGCAACGAATTTCTAAGTATTATTTAACTACCTTAAACACTAAGTACTGATGTATATATGAGGTTAAAACCCCCAAATCTACAATGAATATTTATTCAGATCCATATCTTACTTATCTGGAATGTTTTTCATTTTTATTTATCTGTATATCAACTCTCCTTCTCGTTTAGAATGGTAAACTCCAGATCAAACATAACGAAAATGAAATAAGATCGATACTCGTAACAAGTAAACATAATTGTAACAGTAACTACAAATTTAGCACTAAAACAATATGATTATCTAGCTATTCAGAGTACATTACTCCACGTGACTTGGTGGAAATTTGTCAGTTACTGAAAACATTATTATCAAATGGGTCCAAACAAAGTCAAATTTTAAGTGGGCGGTTGGGTTGACGCTGGATCTCGTGAACGGGGCGTGTTTGCAACCTAAATCGTTTGCTGACTGCAAGCTTATCGTCACACTCTAGTTATCTCACAGCCATTAGATAACTTGGCTGGACGTGTTTATATCTAGTCCTTTCTTTTCAATCTAAGCTGACGGCTCTGCCAATTTCATCATGAATTTGAATAGCTGACAGAAGTAATAGACTTGTGTTGTTTCTCGTTACCTCTATTTTGTCACACAACTGTTCATCCAAACTTAACCACTGCCATCGATTGTACTTGACAGTTTTATATATCAGTCAATGTGCCTTCATTTACATCTGTACCCTTTTCATGAGAAATGCTCATCGTTTATTATTACTTATTCTGCATACATGTCTTCTGCCACGTACATGACATAACCTCTGTCGGTCAACATATCTTAACATCTTACAAATTACGTCATGATATAATAATCTTCTTATTAAAGTCACCATGTTTAGCCTCCGCGAAGACGCGCATTGAGGTTGACGGTGTAGCCATTTCGTATACCCGCTTCGCGAACCGTGCTTGAGCCCGAAACCGGCTTGCTGGCACAAGTTGAGTAGCACTGACTGTGACTCATGCCACATCTTTCGGCAGAGCTCCTGTGTAGTTTATCGAGCGTCCAGTTTATGTCTGCCTGCATCGTCAACTGCTTCCCTTTGCCTGGATTCACTAAAAGGTCGATAACGTCCTGAAAATGTGATACAGGAAATGACTTCATTAGTTTATTTGAGCTGTAACTGTGGATATAATATGACAGGAATAATATCATAAAATAAGGTAAGACACATTTTCCTTTCATTCTGTTCAACTCATTTTATTATGAGTCTTTCCAATAGGTATTTCGATGGATATTTGCACAAAGTCTACTGAGGGGTGTTTTAAACATTATATTTGAATGAAAAGGTGTTGATATATATATTATATATATATATATATATATCCTCATAGGGAGTGGTGGTACATACCTAGCACTTGGTATTAAACATAAATTCTATTCATCACTTCATTGTTTCTGTATGGTATAAAAATTGTTTGTACTACATGAACTATATAATAAGATTTGTCTAAACCATAACACGCAACTGTTTGATTAGTGTACAGATTAGTCCAGAAAAAGATTCACACTTGTTGCTTCTATTCTGAAAACTTCATACTTATATCTATGTGGTTACTTCATCGCTTTTAAAAGTACCGTTCTGTAACCGAATGTATAACTTCACCCAGGATCCAAATATACCACTGATACCTACCCCTAAGCCAAACCCTAAACCTAAACCCAATTGCATCACTAATCCGAACCTTTCAACTTTGACGAAATAGAATACTTCCACATCGTTTAAAACCTGTAAAAAGGAAGGTATTATATAATTTGAACTTACTCTATGTCGGGATGGCTCGTTGCCTCTGTTGCTATATGTATTCACATCGCCATTTCCGTCATCATACCCTCTCTGGCCTTCGTTGCCGGTGTTTCCGTATGTACTCGACATGTTTATTCTTGTCTCAATCTACTCTGATACTAGGTTCCTTGTTTTAGGTCAGGATAATCACGGTTTTGATAACTTGTTGAACTCGAATAATATGATCTGTAAGCCCAGGAACCTTCTTAATGAGAGAGGAGATTCGTCTACTGGTGTGATATGGAGAATGGTTTTGCAACGTCGTCGCTCGGTCTTTTATAAGAGCGGGTATGCATTTTTTGGACGCGGGGATTCCCAAGATTACACAAACGTCAGAGATACGTTCGGTCTAGAATAATCTTTGCCGTAATGATCGCTATTTTTGAAAGAAAGGGAATTTTATTCTGATGGGGCCTGGGATATTATTTGAATATTTCTGGCTGTCTTATTGCTAAGTATAGACTTTTACCAGACTTTCTTTATGCTTCGTCATGTTTTATGACATGATCTTTTGGCAGTGTTATCTTATAAATCATACAAATCCCCCAAACCTCTAGAACCATGATTACCATCGCATTGTTAATTGTGATTTCATACATCATTTCTGTTTCTACGTTTAATAAGTATATGTAATTATTTACTAGGTGTGAGCGACAGGGTGTCCGAAGAGCATTATATATGGATAACACCGGTAAAGTAGAGGAAGGCGATGACCATTGCAACAAATCCAAAGAAATAGATGATGCCGCAAACACCAGGGAGAGATGTAATCTGTCAAACAGAATATTATTTTAAAATATGATTGAATGAAGAACCTTGTAACATGAAAATATGTCACATATCTTAAGCACATGGCTTCAACAGTCGATAAGCTTATAGGGTTGAAATTGAAAACTATATTCGGTCATTCTGTCAAATGAAAAATAAACATTATTGCCTTTAGACCTAGCCCCTGGAACAGCATTTTCCTTCCTAGGATTGACCATATTTCAGAAATAAAAATCACTTAAAAATTATTTAGTTGCTACTTACACGATGCCGGCAACTTTCGTTGATAGTTGGCCCGGGAGTCGGTCTAGGATTCATGGTGATTTCTTCTAAATGTTCACGTTTTTCTCAAAATTGCGGCTGAGAACAAGACTGGGTTCGGGGAACTACAGCGCCAATAGTAAACTTTGTGCCAGATAATTAGGTCACTACTCCCGCCTCACGGGGATTTTTGTTTAGTCAATGACCTGTTGTTCAAAAAAATGATCTCGATTAGACATTGCGAAAACCGTGCTCGATCGATTTTTTCCCCAGCCTCTTTCAAAAATTACTTCGGTTCTTGTTTAAACTTCACACTGTTGCAATATCGATCCAAGTAATTTATCATGCTCATGGTAGGCTTACTTCATGCTATCTGAGATCCATATTCAGTAATAATCTAATTTCTACCATTTGACACTTAGGATAATTTTAATTTTCAATGTCTACCACTTCCCCTTTCCTCTCATATTATATTTAATAAATAATCCCTGCCCTCCGTACTTCACGAACGACAAAACCACTCTTTAGATTCCACTTTCCTCATGATACAAATTTGAACAATGTAATAGTATAATTATTAAATGACCAACTCATTCTGTCGCTGTTCATCTTCCTCACCCCTCCTTCTTGTTCTTTCTTTCTTTTCATCTCTCTTTCTTATCTCATTTTTTATATTCATTTGCTCTCTCTTTTCTCTTTCTCGATTTACCTTCTATTCTAATGTCATTCTCCCTCTCTATATATTTTGTCTTCCTTGAACATTTTTGGCATTCTCATCAACAACTAACAAACAAATGAATAAATAGACTATTGGTGTCACCGTTTTACATATTTTAATTTTCCCAATATCTATTCTAGCTCGAATTATTAATATTATTATTTAATAGCATTACAAAGAACTATTTGAAAGGGTAACATTCAAATAATTCTAGCATTTATGTCTATGCAGATTGACAAAATTAAAACAAAATTTTCTACTTATGACATCTAAATCAGTAATGAACATCTAAAAAAACGGTTGGATCCAACATTCGATTTTATTTTGCTGAAGTGGATTCTTCTATACACAATTTGTGGGCAGGTTTGTCTGTGGGGGATTGAAGGTTGGACTGGGACCAACTACTACATATTCAATTGGTCTATGTTCTTATAATCATATATGACACTCCTCCCCCTTTCAAAGTCATCAAGTAAACCCATGATAACCGGCACCCACATAATGATTCATTACACACGACGTAAACAGACAAAAATAGGAATTGTAATGACGATATGTATTTACCCAAATAAGATAAAACACAGAACTATATCAATAATATCGTCTTTCAGCAAATCTTCATTAATGAAGAGTGAAGTAAAGGTTCAAAGCGGAAAACTTCTTGTAATGTAGGTACATATTTGTAGGCGGCTACAGGCACTTGGAAAATTGTTTTTTCAAGGTCGTCACAAAATTTTCTGGTAATATGTGTATACCAACAACAACAAATTTTTGAACAAAATCTTCGTCCATGGAAATACAATAAACACTTTTAACAGTTGATCTTTAACAAGATTTGCTTTCAATTATTAAAACATAATGTGGAAAGAAATATCGATGTAGTATCAGGCATTCGAATTCACTATATTGATTAAGAAAATAACCATGATTAGCTAACATCTAAGAGGGGTTTATGTGACTTGTGCATTGAATGGAAGGTGTGTATTTCCCTCATTATGATAAAATATACCGAATGATATCATAATATTCATATGTAAATATCCTCCTTTAATGAAAAAGATGATTCAACAATGGCTGTCATACATGTGCTTTGAAGCGTATTAACTAAGCACATGATTTTTTTTACTGACTGTCGCCCCCACGGACTCGTAAAACGACATGCATTTTGCTTCCATTCTTTATCTTTTTCTTAGCCTCTCGCAGTGTCGTCGAGCCCGTTAATTTTTCTCCGTCATGCATAAGGTCGATCTGGCTTTCATGCACACCGATTTCAGCAGAAACCTGTTTAACCAAGCAGCTTTGCTTCTGATCTAAGTCTACTTCCATATCACGAGTCTTTCCATTAAGGAGTATGATGGTTATCTTCACCTGTGAATAAAAGGACACATTAAAGACAATTAGAAAATGTAGTCAAGAGAGCTTTAACCTTTATATTTGCATGGCATGGAGTTCATATTTCCATATTCTCATAATGGTGGTAATTGTCTAGCACTTGGAATTAAACAAAAATTCCATTCATCATTTCATTGTTTCTGTATAGTACAAAACCGGAAATGAATTATATTTTATATAAACTATATGATAAGATTTTTTTGAACTATTACACACAACTGTTTGATTAGTGTACAGATTAGTCCAGAACAATATTCAAATTTGTTGTATCTAGTATTAAAATAACATACTTATATCGAGTTGGCCTACATCTATGTGGTATTTCAAAGTCATGTCAACGTACCTTAGTGTGCTTGGAAGGCTCGTTTTTTATCACTCCTGGTGTGGGGGTCCCTTCGCCCTCGTAGAGGATGACGGTGGAGTCATTTTTTATCTCCGTTTCCCAAACCTTGCGTGAACCCGACAGCAGCAATCCATCACAAGATGAGTGGCACTGACCGGGAGTCAGGCTACATTTTTCGGCCAAACTGAAGTGTAGCTCGTCGAGCGTCCATTTTAAGTTTGCCTGCATATAAACAGGGCTCTTATTGTCAGGATGCACGAATATTTTGATGTTGATGAAGTCCTGCAAATGCGATACCGGAAATGAATTTATTAGTTTATTTGAGCTGTTACTATAGATATTATATAATAGAAATAATATCATGAATAAGGTAAAAACACACTTTTCTTTCTGTTAAATTATTCTAATAATAGTTCCTATTAGTTGATACCAAAAGTCTTCATAAACCCATTGAAGGCATACTTTTGTACTCATTTACAATCCTACACGTAATGCACAAATAATTACTATGGTATTCGATAATAAAAGTAGGCGTACAGTTATTTTACTTTTTTTTAAATATATGTTTTTAAATCCTTGCAGCTTTACTGTTCTATCATTTTTTCTTATTTTTGAAAGCATCAACTGTACAAGCTAAAAGCATGCTGATGTTCACTCATTCAAATCCTACAAATTCGTTCACTAAAATTCATGAAATATCAAACCTTGATTTCGAAGATATTTGTAAGGGTGGGGATAATTATATTTTGCTTACTCAATCGGGTTTGGTTAGGAAAATCAGTGCTAACTGAATGCTTGGGGGGAATCGTACGACAATACGCTGGCTACAATTACTTCATCGCTTTTAATAATACCGTTCTGTATCTGAATGCATAATTTCAACCGTGGACCAAATACCACCGAAACCTACCCCTAAACCAAACCTTAAACCCAAAACCCAATTGCATCCCTTATCCTAACCTTATATGTTTGACGAAACAAAATACGTCCACAACATTTAAAACCTACGAAAAGGAAAATATTATAGATAATTGAACTGACTCTATTTCGGGAGGGCTCGTTGCCTCTGTTGCCATATGTATTCACATCGCTATTTCCTTCACCATACCCTCTCTGGCCTTCGTTGCCGGTGTTTCCGTATGTACTCATGTTTTCCCTTGTCGTAATCTAATCAGTGCTGTGTATTCGGTCAGGATTATCACGGTTTCGATCACTTTTTTTAATTTGGTTAATATGAAAGTATTTGTAGCTCAGGGACCTTCTTAATGATAGAAGATTTGTCTACAGGTGCGATATGGGGATGGTTTTGGCGACGTTGTCACACGGTTTTTAATACAGTAGGCATACGGTTGCTTTTGGACGAGAGAAATCGCAACATTGCGGCTGAGAACGAAACTGGGTCAGGAACTACTGCGCTGAAAATGAATGGTAAACGTATTGCCAGATGATTGGGTGTCTACTCCCGCCTCATATATCCGCCGGGATTCTTTTCACTCACCCGTCGTTCAACAAAATGTTCTAAATTAGACATCGGGGAAAACCGTGCTCGATTAATTTTTTCCCAAAACTCTTATTAAATATTACTTCGTTTGTCTCTGATGTTTATACTCCTCACTGTTGTAATATCGCGCCAAGCCTTTTCATCGAACCTTTTTAAAAGTTATTTTGATATCTATATGGAATAACAATTTTTTACATTTGACACTGAAGATTATTTTAATCTTCAATGTCTACCACTTCCCATTTCTTCTCATATTATATTTAATAAATAAATTCCACTTTCCTCATGATACAAATTTGAACAATGTAATACTATAATTATTAAATGACTAACTCATTCTGTCGCTGTTCATCGTCCTCACCCCTCTTTCTTATTCTTTCTTTCTTTCCATCTCTCTTTCTTTCTTATCTCGTTTTTTATATTCATTTGCTTTCTCTTTCTCATTTTACCTTCTATTCTAATGTCATTCTCCCTCTCTATATATTTTGTCTTCCTTGAGCATTCTTGACATTCTCATTAACAAATAACATACAAATGAATACATAGACTATTGATGTCACAGTTATACATTATTTAATTGTCTCAATGTTTATTACAGCTCGAATTATTAATATAACTATTCAATAGCATCACAAATAAATATTTGAATGGAAAACAATTAAATAATTCTGGCATTTATATCTATGCAGATTGACAAAATTAAAACAAAATGTTCTATTTATGACATCTAAATCAGTAATGAACATTTAAAGAAAAGGTTGGATCCAACATCCAAGTTTTTCTTGCTGAAGTGGTTTTTTCTATACACAATTTGTGGGCAGGTTTGCCTGTGGGGGGATTGATGGTTGGGGTGGGACCAACGACTTCATATTCGATTGGTCCATGTTCATGTATTCATATATGACACTCCCTTCCCTCTTTCGAAGTCCTCAAGTAAGCCCATGATAACCGGCACCCACATGATTATTAAATACACACGACGTACAAAAGACAACAAATACTAATTGTAATGACGATATTGTTTTTCAAGGTCGTCACAACATTTTCTGGTAATATGTGTATACCAACAACAAAAAAGTTTTTGAACAAAATCTTTGTCCATTAAATACAATTAACACGTTTAACAGTTGATCTATAACAAGATTTGCTTTGAATGATTAAAACATAATGTGGAAAGAAATATCTATGTAATATCAGGCATTCGAATTCACAATATTGATTAAGAAGATAACTATGATTGGCCAACATCTAAAAGGTGTTAATGTGACTTGTGCATTGAATGGATGGTGTGTATTTACCTCATTATGATCAAATATACCGAATGATATTCATGATATTCATATGTACATATGCCTTTAAAAAGTGATCCGTTCCTCCTTTAATGAAACGGATAATCGTATAAACTTATCATATGTCTTTTACTGACTGCCTCCACGGAGTCGTAGATTGACAATTACTCTACTGTCCTTCCTTATCCCAGCATCTAAAAGTATTCCCGTGCCCCCTAACTGTTTAAGGCCAAACTGGAGATACAACTGTCTTTTATCCATATTGAATTTAGCAGCAACCTCGTCAGCCAAAAGATCTTGCGACCAACCTAAGACTACGTCCATGTACTCAGTCCTTCCATCAGGTTTTTGGACGATTATCTTTACCTGTGAATTAAAGGATACAATAAAGGCAATAAGAAAGTGTACCGAGGAGAGGTTTAACCTTTATTTTTTGCATAAAATGGTGATAATATTTCTTGTGGTGGTATGTGTCTAGTACATAAGTTTCAATTCTTCATTTTTATTGTTTCTGTTGAGTATAACTTATTTTCTACTTTATTAACTATATAATCAGATTTGTATGATCCATTTTTAGTTTGATTAGTGTACAGATTAGTCCAGAAATATATTCATATTTAAAAAATAATCTAGTATGAAAACTACATATTTATATCGTGGAGGCCCATATCTATGTGGTATTTCAACGCCATATCAACGTACCTCAGTATGCTCTGATGGTTCATTTTTTATCACACCGGGTGGGGGTTTCGCATTGCCCTTACCTCTTGATTCATTCATCTAAGAACGAAAAGAAAGAATAAAGCACGTTACCATAACTGTCATGCAACGAAAATCCTTCTTAAAGTATAGATTTTGAAAGGCTATTCTATCGACCCTTAGTACATTGCCTTGCCAAAATGCTATCCTATAGCCCGATGTCCTTGTGTTTTATATCCCCTATACAGAACTGAATCCAATTATATTATACATAGTCGAATGATATCTTACATTCTACACATAGACGTACGGGTACAACTCCGCCAATGGGGGACTACATCTCTTGCGCAAATATCAACATTTTGTTTGTAGTTTTGTGGCAAGCTGAGGCAGCGAAACTAAATTGTTTGACACTTTATCAGAGTGATAATATAATTCTCCATCAAAAATATCCTAGATAAGACAGCAAATTACAATAAACAACCATACTTCCAGAAAAGTGGTAGTAAGGTGATCAATGCCTGATCGCCATGCTTATTGATAGTTTAGATTGAGCCTTTCTGCAATGTGGCAATATATCAAGCTACAATATGGGCAAAATATATTAGCGAAATGTATCTACTTACGATTAAAAACTTGGAATATTAGTCAGTTCTGAAACGCTATCTGATATCGTTCTCAAGGTAGTAAGGTCGACCTTTGAATGAAATGATAATTTTTCGTCGACTCACCAATTTGTACATGGTTGTACGCCTTACGATGAGGGCGTTGAAGAAAAAAAGAAAACAATCAATGGGGGAATTCCAATATCTCGCATCCAGATCTCGTCGCCATTTTTTGTTCACACAACAATCATGGCCCAAAATCGTCACCACATCAACTATCTAAAAGAGATATGGGTAGAATGCGACCATCACCTTATTTTAATTTTGTAATGATAATCATCACCACAAGCTGTATCTGAGATACCTCTTTCAATTACATTTGTCACCATCCTTTTTTTACCAATATTCGCACTTACTATGCTTATAGTAAAATTGTATTGGCTTTAATTTATGAACCCAGTTACACTCAGCAATAAACCTTACCCGCAGTGCTTTTCAATATTTTTTCATCATATTTCATTACCTCCAAAGCTATTTCAGCTATTAATGATATCATAGACATCGTCCCCATGGACATTGTAATCCTCGAAATATATTTATTCAAAGATGCAGATGACGAGATTACTATCGTCATCATCATCACCACCACCATCATCATCATCATCATCATCATCATCATCATCATCACAGCTTCCGACACCACACGAAAACATAAATTCGTCATCACCTAATCGTACGGAAACCCATGTTGTTTCTATTACTAGCATCACCGCCATCATACACAATGGCATGATCACTCTCAACATCACCATCTTCGAGATCGTTTCCATTGTGATGAGGGTGACGAGAGTGCCAGTCATTATCATTACCACCATCATCGATTCAGTCATGACTGGCATCAGTGCCGTTATCGACATCAGTTACAAATGTCATGCTAGATAATATTTATGCTTCGTCAGCATCGTATTACCAAGATTGCAATGACAATTATTTTCAATTTATATAATTTCCGTGTATCATATATCATTTAGCAATGTATTTTGAAAAGCTGCCTGAGCAAATATAATGACGTCGGGATAAACTTGTTGATTTTATTCGTCAAATTTGACATCGTCACCCTCAACATCATCATGATGACGATCGCAAAGATGACTGTGACCGATTGTGACAATGATGATGCCGAAGAGGATGACGATTATGTTCATCAACATTACCATTAAAGTTTCGGTATCATTAATATCATGAATAACAACATCCATACAAGAACATACAAACACATGTTTATTCATTCGTCGACCCCAATTACCAGGATAAAATATAGTTATTGCTTGTGATCACACCTATATCAATACATAACCACCAATATCATCAAATTATGACAATCAAGCCATACAATTCTTCATAGTCGTCAGCTAAAATTGTATCAGCTCCTCGAAATGTACTTCTTTCCCATTAACATGATTACGAAGGCAAAGATGATGATGACTAGATGGCCGATGATTTCAATCCTCATAATCATCATCGCAAACATTACCATCAAAATAACCAGTTTTGGCATTGTCATTTTCATTGGCACTGAAAGACGTATATAATTGTCACAAATAAAGAAAAATTATTAGAGCTCTTAACGTTTGAATAATTTCTCCGTCATGTGAAATTCAATCAAAAATCTAAAAAGCTTCCTTTGAAATCTTTGGGATATATCATGAAAACCTGCTCTTTCAGAGATTCTGGAATCTAAATTTATTAGCAATAAAGACAAACATAATCATATGTTAAGTGATCCATTTTATGGCCTGTCTGTTAACACAATCGTGTTACGTTTACCGAACGTTTACGTCTATCAAAAATAAGGATGACATCATTGACTGGAGAAACCCCATTTGTACAGTGATTACGCACATATGCCTGTATGCATGGCGACTTTCTTTTGTTGAGCCGTGCATGTATTATGGGAATATTTGTACACTTGAACACTATCGTTCTTTCTGGAAGTTTCGAACGAAATAGGTCACCACAATGAAAATAATATGTTTTGTTTGCATACGTTGAGTGGTTCTTGCTATTTTAAGCCTCATACATAACTAGCTTTTTCTATTTGTTCTCTACAAATGTATAATAATTGTCTACTGAAATTGAACATATAAAGGAAAGTTTGGTAATAAATGAAATACATTAATTTGAAAACACTTTACACAAAGCCCTTAATTGCAATGACTATTTCATATCAAATTCCTTTGCCTTATTCTCACTATAATATTGTCATATTTGCAATATTTATTTGCTGCCCCTTTTGCTTGTTTTGATATATCTTCTCTAACACATATTTTATCCCTTTGTATTTTGCTTGTTTCCTTCTGCAATCTTGAGATAACAATATGAAAACGACCCCTGTTTTAAAATGGGAAGTTGATTATGTACTAAAGATAAAGTTAGTATATTTGAAATATGTATCAACCGGGTCATAACGTTCATTTACCTCATAAGATTATTGTATGTCTTTGTCTATATAAATGTTGCCCTCTTTACTGAAACTGACATTTCTGTTTGGAATAAAACATAAAAACTAATGTACAGTAGCCGTGTCACATCGCCAAACTGATTTCAAAGTGAATCCCAACCGATTAATTATTGGCTTATTCTTGGAGTAGTGTAATATTTTCTTTGCTCTGTTTTCGGTTCGGTGTTGGACTCGTTAGTGTGAATAATCTATAGTACCCGAGTCACATAGTAAAACCGAATTCAAACCTAACTCACACCTCCCCCATGTTGTTCATTGGGAGTAGTGTAATATTTTGTTCAGTCTCTTGTCGGTTTTTTTTAAATATAATTTATATGCATTGGCTGAGGGATTAGCTTATTTCTATTTTCTATTATGACAATGAATGTGTACCTCGGTTGAAACAGTGTGTAATTTTAGTTTAGATTAGTCACGTGGTAAACCCTATGATGTTTCTAGCAATATGACGAAGTAGTGACGAAGCGATGTTAAGTAATGTCCATTCTTTTTTTTAGGTCGAAAATACAAGAGTTGGGACAGAAATTAGCGAGTGAAATGTTATTAGAGATTATAGGGCAACCATAATGTAATACATGATAATACAAGAATAGTCGTACCATCGTCATCGTCGTCATAATTATCTTCGTCACCATCATGTTATTTTCAGTTTATCGCTCATTTTGCTTTGTTGAACATTTCCTTTATTCACATGGCTACTTACTCTCAAGTACTTGAATAGTTAAGGCACCAATATTTTGCTCTAATTTTCTGACTTGCTTCCTCCTGTCCTTCTCTCCTCTTTCTTCCACACGCACACGCACGCATACACACACAAATACCCACACACGCATATTGTCAATCTTCGTCTCCTGCTCCCCCTTCGCCTCTTTCACCCCCTTTCCCCACTATATCCCTCCTTTTTTTCACCTAATTGTACAAACACACACACACCCACACATCCACACACACACCCATACACACACATACACGCCCACCCACCCAAACACCTACCCACACACCCACCCACACACTCATGTTCTCCTACTTCCCCTCTCACGTGCATTCTCCTCTTAGCCTTTTTCTTACTTTCCTTACATAAACTTTACTCAATCACATGCTTCCCCCTTCTCTCCTCTCTTCTGTGCCCCTCTTTCTCCCCAAATCTATCTATCTCCCTGTAACTCATCAGAACTCCCTTCTCATCTTCTATATGTCTATTTACCGCGGTCAATCGCTCTTTTTTCGTGTAATGTCGACAATCTTTGTATTATTAAACTCCAGGTCCTCATATGCTGTCATCTCATTATTCCTACGCCTGTACGTAAATCAGAGAGAGTGAAAATAACACACATCTTCAACAAATTTATAGGGAAGCAGATCATTTATTCAAAACTTTACATTTGAATTATCATGAAATTATCATGGGGTCAAACCCTTAATAAATTGAAACAAATAGTACTAACATCAAAACAGGCAAGGTTACTTCTCAAGGTCATTAGGGGCGTCGCTACATCAAAAAACAAATTAATAAATATAATGCCGCAACGTAGACGTCAATTCATGACGTTAAAAACATCTAGTCTACGATACCCAAGGATTGTAAATACATGTATAATTCAGTAAATGAAGACAAATCAAATGATCATTTTTTATATTTACATTGGGCCTATACAACAATTCGATGGACATTCGATGTGTATGAAATATAATACATTTTTACACTACATCAAAACAAATATGAAATGAACTTATCAAATGGTTTATATCATGGCTGTTGTTAATTAAAAAAACACTAAATAAACTAATTCAAAACATAAAGCTTTCTGTTAAAAAGCTGTCATTAACGTCCATTACGAAATAAGGCCTACACTTTTAGGTTAACTACTTATTTTAATTATTTCTTTTTACATAATGAACATTCACTTTTCCTGTATTTACCCACATCATAAAAATAAAATGCAGCGTTTCATGAAATGATTGCTGCAATATGAATTATTCTTGATAGATGACGTTTATATCTTCTCAGAACTATACTGATCAATGAAGATTGATCAATAATCAATAATCTTCGCTGATCAGTACAGTTCTGAAAAGATTCGAACCTCAACTGTAAAAAATATCAATCGTATTGTCACTATTATTTCATTAAAAAGAGGTAAAAACAACTATCCAAACTTAACGGGAAATAGTGTGTTTATATAATCCAGGGTGCTGGTCCTGTGGCATAGCATGGATCCAGCCAACGAAGGGGGCATTGATGCCATGGGACGGGGTACTGGATCTACTAGATAGATGAAATGTGACAGAACTAAGCCATCGAATAATTCATTATTGGATAATTGTCTTAAAGACATGATTGAAACGATTCTTAAAAAAAGTGCAGCTTAGATGGATTTCCATCCTGAATTTCAGCCGGTTTATACTTTTGTGTATCAACAACTATATTACGTCAACTTCCATTGTAGAGGAGTACATCTTAAATAGAAAGTGTTGCACAGAAGTTATACAAGGTTGTTCCTTTCTTTTAAAGGGTATGGACCAAGAGACGTCAGCATCGTGGTGAAAATGCCCCATAAAAATGCCTAGTGTAACCACGGTAGTTTCGTGAAGATGTATATTCATTTTTGTGCGATCATCTGGGTCGAAGTTTCGGAAGTACTTGCACACTTCATCTTGGCAAAGGTCCATGGTAGGTTGCAGAGCTCCTATTCAGATTTTTCGAGATTATTCGTGTCTTCTATCAGGTAAGACGTACGATCACAAAAATTACTATGCCTGCTATACCTACTATGGCGATGGCACCGAGTAAAGCATAGCATACACGACCACTCGAACACTACAAATAAAAATGACAAGATATAAAATGTACCATTAAAAGGAGAAGTATAAGCACTGTTGAAATATGTAGGCAGTATCAAAACGTATTTAGTCGAAATTCGGCATTTCAGCTATTAATTCCAAAAAATAATTACGTTTTTCCCTGCTTGAAGGAACCATAAGACCTGTGTATTTGTCATTATACGAAAATATACTAAACTATGTTTTATAAGGATATCGGGATGTGGTTGTATGTATCCCTAACATTATTTTGTATACTACAAGACAAACAGATGAAATAAAGGTCATCTTACCCACCAAGAGCAGGAGATGGGAATTTAATTTTAATTTGCCAATACTGATCCTCCCAAAAATGTCAGAGGCAATAAATAAATGTGAGAAGCATTTTCCTTTTTCTGTCATTTGCTTTGTTGATAAGAGATCTTTGTAGACCAGTATTCCACTTAAGGTTACAGTGGCATTGCCCATGTAGACTATGATATTGAAAACAATTTCTGTGTCTAATTTTTCTCACAAGAATGAGACGAAACGTTCGCCACATTAATCAAATACTAATAGTGATAAAGATGAGATTACATTTTGTTTACTTACGTTGCCCTTATGACGCCCGGGCTCGTTGCGTATACCACCAGGCGGAATAGCCATCGTGAAAACTTTTGCTCTTATTATTGTCGAAGAAACAAAACAAAAATTCGTGTGCACTGCTGTCTGCCCTGTAAGCCTCTGTTACCTCGCAGATGTTGTTGTTGTTTTTGTTTGTAGTTTTTGCGTTCAGTCAAAATCAATTATTTAAGCCTGTCTAGTTTGTTTAGCAGTAATGTCCGTGTCCATGAAATCATTTATCGTTGAGAAAACTGTGCGTGTGTGCTTTCGCTTGTCCACTGCGGGGAAGTATTATCCCGGTGCTGAGCGACGTAGAGTTTTATGAAGAATGTTGATTTACTAGACCGAGTAGGTGGCTGTCGTGGAGTTTCGTGATTGGCGAATCAAGTATAGATGATCATGTCATCAAACAGGGCTTCCCCAACAGCAGTAGACTGGTGACGAAATACGATTCCACTGAGCTGGGAGCAGCTTATTGATTCATACCCCTCGTGAACTTGATGTTTTTTGTGTTTTTAGTAAAGGCATGAATGTAAACTGTACTTGTTGAATTAGGGTTCTGGTTGAAGACTTCTAGCTGTAAACTAGTATACGTCGCAAGAAACATACATCGGAACTAAATACATTTTGTACATACTCAATTTCTGTTGTACAGAAGATGAAACCCGATTAACTGTCGTAAGCAATGTTTGATTGCTTCAAAGAGAGCAGTTGATTAAAGAATAGTAAATTACAAGCAGTGGGTGACGAAATAATTTTCTTCTCTGAATTTAGTTCTATTATGAGTTAGTCCTGCAGTAGAAGTTGCAGTAACCTCTGCAAATTAGATGTCAGCCCATAAATTAATGATAAAAGCAACTCATTTAATTCCTTCCGCCTTGGCTATATTCTTCGTAGGTGAAACCAATAGGAATGTCTTTTCATAGAATGTCCATCCATCACTTACATTTTGTTCGTAAGAAAATGGAATTATTATGAACTTGATAATTGGGGAAAACAACAATAGGTACACCACGGTATCATGATTCAAAATGGTTGATGCCAAAATCTTGATGAACATATGAGAGAGGAATTATAAAACAACGTTGCTTTTCCTCTATCGTCCTATGCTTGCAACTAGTGCTCTCTGTCAGTTGTTCATTTTCCTCACTCAATTTCGCCATTTCTTTGTATGTTATTTTAATTTTAAAGAGCAGAGTGGGAATACAAAATGAATAAAAGGTCGGAATACGTGTCAAGCTATCTTGTTTAATTGCCCATGTCTCTGGTACAGGCCTCGGCATCTTTATTGTACAGTGAAACCCATGTATGAAGACCACTCAAGGAAGACGAGAAAACTGTTTTTTGTAAGCAGATATTCTTTTTTTCAGGCTAGTTTAGTCCCCGTTGCAATGAAAAATATTAGCCAAAGGAAGTGAAAAATGTGGACTTTTCAGACAGGTAGTCTTGCCATACAGGTCTTCGCTAAAAGAAGGTTTTACTATATGGATTTATATGACGACAACCAATTTAACCTCTATTTTGGGTATCTTTGATCCCTAAAGTAAGAGATATCTTCTCTCTCTCTCTCTCTCTCCCTCGCTAATAGCAGGGACAGTCACATGTAGACAAATTGCACAGTTTTGGTACATCCGGAGAGAAATGTATTGATTATGTAGAACATCCAAGATTTGCATACAGTCAGGATGACCGTGGAGCGTAAGGATTGGAGGAATACTGAATGACGTCACGGTTCGTGTTGGAGAATCCCCTTTCGGAGACCTTGCCTACAAACATTTTTTGTTTGCCATGTTAAATTCTCTACGTATGTTGGTGGGAGTGCTGGTACGTTTTGCAAGTTAATGCTTTTTGCGGAAGCCCATCGGTATCAGATGGCCTGAGTTTTTTGGTATTTTACCAGAGGGGTGACGATCTAGGCCATGCTTATTACATCCACACAAAAGCATCCAAACATATGTTTATATAATCGTCAACCCTATATTACCAGGATATAAAATATCTTTCGTTTTTGATCACACCTATATCAATGTATAACCTACAATATCATCAAATAATGACAATCAAGCCATATAGGTATTCTTCTTTGTCAACTTCTAAAAATTGTATTACCCCTCGAAATGAACGTCTTTCCAATTATCATGATTGCGAAGGCAAAGATGATAATGACTTGATTGACGATTACTTCAATCACCATTACCATAATCAGGAACATGACCATCAAGATAACCGTTATTGGCAATATTAAAATATCAAGAATGTCAGCAGAACAAAAAGTTATTCTACATCGCCATTCGCTCCTGGTCATATTACACCAACAGAGGCGGCATCGATTAGAGTCACATTGCAGTTATCAGTTGAACATTTATTACACCAAAATATTCATGCAATTACGTCATCATGGGCACTGAACAATTTACATAAGTATGACTAACAAAAATATATTATTAAAGTTCTTTACGTTTTAATAATTCGCCTTCATGTAAAATTCAATCGAGAATCTAAAAAACTCCTTCTGAAATGTGTGGGTTATGTCATGAAAACCTGCTCTTTTTGAAATTCTGTAATTATCTAAATTAATAAGCGATAAAGACAATCATAATCATATGTTAAGTGATCCATTTTATGGCCTGTCTTTCAACACAGTCGTATGTGTTTACGTTTACCGAACGTTTACAAGAATGACATCATTGACCAGATAAACCCCATTGTCTACAGTGATTACGCACATGTGCCTGTATGCATGGCGACTTTCTTTTGTCGTGCCGTGAATGTATTTTGGGAATATTTGTACGCCTGAATACTATCGTTCTTTCTGGAAGTTTCGAATGAAATAGGCCACTACAATGATGATAAAATGCTTTTTACATACGTTGAGTGGTTCTTGCGATTTAAGGTCTCATACATAACTAACTTTTCTCTATATAAAATGTTTAATTATTGTCATGCTGAAATAGAATATATAAAGGAATACTTGGTAATAAATTTAAAAGAAAAATGTGCAAATACTTGACACGAAATCCTATTATATATATTATGACAATGAATGTGTACCTCGATTGAAACAGTGTGAATATTCTTGTTTAGAGTAGTCACGTGATAACCCCCAGGGCGTGTCTAACAATATGACGAAGTGGTGACGAACCAATGATGAGTACCGTCCATTGTTTTTGTTTTTGTATGTCGAAAATACAATAGTTTGGACAGAAATTAACAGGTGTACTGTTGTTAGAGATTACGGGGCAGTCTTACTTTTATACCAATGATAGCAAAAAAGTCGTATCATCGTCATCATCGTATCGTCACCATCATCATATTTCCAGTGCTCATATCGCCTAGTTGTGCATTGCCTTTCTTTATATATCCACTTCCTATCACGTACTTGTCTGACTTGTTATCTCCTCTCCTCTCTTTCTTTCACGCTAAAACGCATACATACACGAATACCCACACATGCAAACTGTCAATCCTCGTCTTCTGCTCCCCATCTTTCCCCTTTTCATTTTTTTCTGCCATACTTTATGGTGATACTCGTCCTTCTTCTCTTCTCTTTTTGTCCTCTGTCCCCAGCTATACCCCTCCTTCTGCCATCTGATTGTGCATCCACACACCCACACCCCACCTTACACCCAGCCGCACACCAGCCACACGCTCACCCACACAATCACCCACTCACACACCCATCTTCTCCTATTTCCTCTCTCACGTCATTCTCCTCTTAGCCTTTCCCTTTTTACTTACATAAACCTTTCCCATTCACATGCTCACCCTCCTATCCATCTCTTCTACGCCCCTTCCTCCCCCACAACCCCCTCTATTAATTTCTCTCTCACTCATGAGAATTCCTTTCGACAATCTTTGAAAGATTAAACACCGAGTTCTAATATGTTGTAAACTCAGTATTCTGTTGCCTGTATATAAATCAGAGACAGTAGACAAAAACACACATCTTCAACAATTTTATAAGAAAGCAGATAATTTATTCAAAACTTGAAATTCGAGTTTGACTGGAACTATCACAGGAGTCAAACTATTAACAAAGTTGGAACACATAGTACTAACATGGCTAAAAGTCAAGGTTTGTTTATCACGTTATCAGGGGCATTGCTACTTCTTTTCTTAGGAGGAAAGATTATACAAATCCGCGAAAATGTAAGATCACACTTCTCCCTATCCACAATTTAGATAGATAGAGAGACAGAGAGAGAAGAGAGATGTAGAGAGATGTCCTTACATAATTTAGGATCTAAACTGTCCCGACAGAGAGTTTTAGAGGAAGGGAGGGGGGATTCAATCCCAATTAACTTTTCTAGCGACGCCCCTGGTTCCGTTAACTTACATTTCAGTGTTTTCCCCTGTGGAACACTACTAATCATTTATCGGGTTACTCAAAATAAAAAGTTTCACTTGAAAATCAAGAAACAAATGAATAATATGACCCGCAAAGGAGACCTCAATTTATAACTTTAAAATCATCGAGTCTACGATACCCAAGGATTGTCTCTAAATGCATGTATAATATATTACATTTTATCAAAATCACTTTCCTATTTTTCAAAGAAATACAATGTACAACAAGCGATGTATATGACGAATTCTACTCCATTAAACCGTTTTAAATTCATCCTAAATGCCTATTAAGACCAATAAAATGATGATCCTTTACATTTACATGAGGCATTTAAACGAAAATAGTGGACATTCAATGTATATGAAATGTAATACATTTACACTACATCATAACAAATTTTAAAATGAACTAATCAAATATTACATATCATGGGTATGGTTAATCAAAAATAATGAAACTATTTCAAAATATTAAGCTTTCTGTTGAAAAACTGGCATTGGCGTATATTACTTAATGAGGCTTACACTTCAATGTTAACGTTTTCAAATTTAGATGATTATACATAGAACACATTCATTTTTTCTTTATTATTTTACACATACCATATAAATAACAAACATTGTTGCCCATACCTTTTTGCCTGAAATGATTGCGGCAATATGATTTATTCTTGATAGATAAAGTTTATATCTCAAAACTCAGAACTGTAATGAACAATGAAGATTGATCAATAAAGTTTTTAAGAAGATATCAACTATGAACTGCAAAAATCTTAGTCATTTTGTCACAATCATTTCATGAATTTAGGTACAAACAATTATCCAAACTTTATAGGAACCAGATCCATTCAAGAGTACTGGCTCTGTTGAATAGCATGGATTCAGCCGATGAAGGGGCATTGATGTCATGGGATGGGGTACTGAATTTATTAGATATATAAAATGTGACAGAACTACGCCATCGAGTGAGGGGTGTGAAGGGCTGTCACATCTTCTTTACATAATTAATTATTGGATAATTGTCCATAATTGTGAGGATTCTTATGGAAATTGCAGCTTAAATGGATTTCCATCCTGAAATTTCAGCCAGTTTATACTTCGGTGTTAACAGATGCAATATATCTATAATAACTTCCTATACACAGGGAAGCCTTGTCAGCTTTAATAATGTTCTTCCTTGGGGTCCTGCAATTATTATTATCCCGGTGAATACCAGGTACCCATTTACACCTGGGTGGAGAGTGGCAATTGTGGATTAATATCTTGCTAGATGATGTTTGTGCTGGGCTTTGATTGGAACTCTAAACCATTGGATTGACATTCAGGTGAATGAACAACTATATGTCGACAACTTCCATTCTAAAAGAGTGAATCTTAAATAGAAAGTGCTGCACATAAGTTATCCGAAGGTTGATAATTTGTTGTCTGATATGGTCCGAGAGACGTCAGCATTGTGGTTAAATATGAACCGGAGAAATAACGGGTGTAACCGCTGTAATTGTGTGAAGATATATTCATTTTTGTGCGATCAATTGGGTCAAATGTTCAGAATTGCTTGCAAATTTCACATTCAGAATAGTCCATGGTAGGTTGTGGAGCTCCTATTCCGATATGTCAGAATGATTCGTGTCTTCTATGGGAATACGCCGGTCAAATATAAAACTAGAAGAATGAGTCCTCCTAGCCCTACGATGGTGACAACGAAAAGCGCACAGCATTTTTCATCACTCGACCACTATATTCAATTGATAAGATATAAGATTTACAATTAACAGCAGAAGTAAAAGCACGGTTGAATCATTTTAGGCAGTATTAGAAAGTATTTGGTCGTACTTTGATTTGGGGGTATTAATAACAATAGTTACTATTTACTCCCCTTGAAGGAATGAATATTAAGACCTGTGTATTTACCATCATACGAAATTATAGGAAACATATATTTTTGTGGATGCCGAGGAGTGGTTGCAAAATTTATCCCTGAAATCATTTTGTATATTACGAGACAAAATAGCTCACTTAAAATAGAAAGTCATCCAACCCACCAGCATCAGGAGCTGGTCATTTAATTTGCCCAAAGTGATCCTCCAAAACAATATGTCAAGTCCTATAGCTTGTAGGATATTTGGAAACATTAAACGCACCCAAAAATGTAAGAAGAATCAAATTAATTTGCTGATGAGAGATCTTTGTAGACCAGTGTTCCAATTGAGGATACAGTGGCGTCGCCCAGGTAGACCATGAGACTAAAACAATTTATGTGCATAATTTTCCTCATAAAAATGAGACAAAGCTTTCGCCACGTTAATCAAATAATCGAGGGATAAAGATATATTGTATTTTGTATACTCACTTTGTCCTTATGCCGACGTGGCTCGTTGTATTGACCACCGGGAGCCATAGTGAAAACCTTTGCCTCTTAATGCTGTCTAAGAAACAAAAAATCGTTTGCACTGCCGCTTGCCCTGAACGCCTCTGTTTTCTCGGTAGTGAGCGACGCAGAGTTTTATGAAGTATGTTCATTTGATAGTCTGAGTACGTTGCAGTCGTGCAGTTTCGTGATTGGTGAATCAAGTATGGATGGTGATGTCATCAAACTGGGCTTCCCCGCCAGCAGTAGACGGGTGACGGAATACGATTCCACTTGGCTAGGAGTTGATAAACAGTTGGCAGCCTATTGATTCATACCCCTCGTAAACTAGATTTTGTTGGTGTATTTTTAGTAATTCAAGAATGTAAATTGGACTTGTTGAATAAGTGCCCTTGTTGAAGACTTTTAGATATGTAAACTTTGATATGTTGCACGAAACTTCGCATGAATATTTTCATCACTTTCGTCGACAAAACTGCATTTGTTGGCGCTTCACTTGAGGAAGGAAAGTTGTTATTTTTAAGTAAGTTATATGTTTGGTTGTGTTGAACTGATAACCCCTGGACTAAATTGAATGTTGACACTGCTGAAGTTCCATTATGATTTCGGCCAACCAGTGTTCTTCTAAAAATGTTTTAACGGAGGTATCGCCATATGTTCCGAACCCATTTTACAAGCTGTGCTGTAATCTGCTGCAGCAACCCATAGCTATGGTCTGAAAATGAGATGAATGAAAAAAGCAACTAAGTTAATTTGTTCCCTTATGGCAATATTCTTCTTAGAGAAAAGTAATATGAATCTCTGCTAATATAATGCCCACCCACTACTTACGCACGGAAATGGAATTAAATATGAGCTTAATAATTGCGGAAAGTAAAAGCAGATACACAAGGGTATCAGGATTCAAATAGGTTGATGCCCAAATGTTGATGAATAGATGAGAAAGAAGTAATAAAACAACATTGCCTTTCCTCTATCGTCCTATGCTTCCAACTGTAGTGCTGTTTGTCATGTTATTATTTCCCCCGACTCAATTTCGGCATTTGTGTGTATATATCTATATTTTAAAGAGCATAATGGGAAGACAAACTGAATGAAAAGAAATACCTCGTTTGCGTCGACGTACGTGTCGAGTTGTCTCGTTTGCCCGTATTCCTGGTACAGGCCTCGGCATCTTGATTGTACAGTGAAACCTTTGTATGAACACTACTCAAGGGATACGAGAAAAAAAATGTTTTTGTAGGCAGGTATTCTTTCTCTTTAGGCTCTTTAAGTCCCCGTTGCAATGAAAGATATCATCCAAAGGAGATGAAGAATGTGGACTTTACAGACAAGAAGTCGTGCCATACAGGTCGTCGCTAAGCAGGTTTCACTAATATAGATGTATATGACGACAACCGATTCAACCGCTATGTTGGGTATCCTTGATCTCTAAAGGAAGATATATCTTTCCAGGTAACTTCATTTAGGAGGAACAGACATATGTAGACAAATGAACAGTTTTTGATACCTCCGGAGAGATATGTATAGCTTATGTAGGACATCCCAGACTTGCATAATTATGGTCACGATGAACGTGGAGCGTAAGGATTGGAGGAAAACCGTATGGATGACATCACGGTTCGGGTTGGAGAATCCCCTCTTGGCTATTTCACAGACCTTTGCCAACAAATATTTTTGTTTTTGCCGTGTTACATTCTGTACGTTTGTCGGTAGGAGTGTTGATACGTTTTGCAATTAAAAAATTGTTATGAAAGCCCATCGGTAATTACATGGCCCGAATTTGTTTTGTATTTCACAAGAGGGTGACGATGTAGGATCTAGACCATACATCCATACAGAAAAATCAAAACATATGTTTATACACTTGTCAACCCCATATAACAACGATAAAAATAAAAATAAATCTTTTGATGACACCGATATCATCGCCAATATAATCGCCAATATCATTAAATAATGACAATCCAGTCATAAAGGATTTTTTCTTTGTCATCGTCTACAAATGGTATAACCCCTCCAAATGAAAATCTTTCAGATTATTATTATTTCGATTTTTGTGAAAACCCATCGGTATAAGATGGAACGAGTTTGTTTGGTATTTTAGAAGAAGGGTGACGATGTAGGATCTAGACCATGCTTAAGTTTCATGATATTCTCCTTTGTGCCGAGATCCCATTTTATGATCAAAATTCAACTTTTCTTTAGCATTTGTAAAAAGCCTTTGCGCTAGTGCAAAATGTAATGCAAATTCATCAGTGTACATTTAATACATGCTTTGGTTAGTAGTTAATCAAAGCCTAATGATTTCAGATGTCGACTTCTTGATATTGATTACTTGCGTAATGAATCCAAATTTGAAAGTACAAGTAAATTTAAGGACCTTTATCTCTACACATTTCGACCACATTTACCGTAATTCACTGCAAAGAATGCTGATACTATATGGTTGGTAATTACGTCACTTGAGAGGCACACCTTCGTTAACATTGCACACTCACCCACAACTTCATACACCCTCACCGATACCCCCACTCACACCCCACTATATCTTTAAACAGAACCAACCGGACCCCCTTCCATCCTCACACCCATCTTCAAACATATCCAACCACAACTAGAAACACACTCGTGACCCCACATACACGCGCACCTACTCTCTATTTCTCTCACAAAAACCCGCATTACACCTTTACTTAAAACCCCCCTAAACACACACGCACACATACACACACGCACACGCTCACCTCCTTCCAAACCCACTTGGTCTTCCAACAGGGGTGAATCTGTGGCAAAGACTTTCGCTCTCCCGATCCCACGCCTTTATCTCATTCTTTCTCTTTTACTTATTTTCCTCTCATCATGCCAGGCTTTACATGTACATTGTGAAATTAATTTCCGATCACTAAGTCTTATCTATCCAACTCAATTTTGCGTTATGATTCATCACATTCATACCGTTCTTTATATCATTTTTAACCCTTAATTTACAAGACTTTCTCTTTTTATTCCTTTAAATCTGTCTCTTTGTCTGTCTGTACGTATCCCTCTCTCACTCACTCACTCTCTCCAAATATTTTAAACCCCGAAGCAATGACATTGACGATTCAGTTTTCTATCTTTTTTGAATGAATTTGCAATTTATTTTAAATCATTACAAAACGGGGGAAGAATATTAGAAAAAAATTAAATCCATCAATCCAAATTGACCTTGGAACACAGATTCAATTTAATCATACTGAAAGCCCTATTTGATAAGTTTCAAAGAAATATTACCCTCATGAATCCCCATCTGTTTTTCATTATTTCAAAAAACAGTCAACAAGACTTTCTGTTTAATAATACGCGTAATACCACCTAACTGTATTTCCATTTTCTCAGTTATTTTAGTTTATCCGACTTAACAGACTTAATGGCTTCTGTATAGAAAGGAAAGTCCTAGTTACATTGAATCATTTGACTAGGATTTACTTGACAGATGTTTTGAATGGTGATAATGTGAATAATGCTCCTAAAAAATTCAATTGTTAATTACAATGTCATTATGATAAAGGTATTCCTCTTATCACTGGACAATTATGTTCTATATTTTAAGAAACACCTGGATCACGAAAGGTATTATGAAACAAATCGAAACAAGAAACTGCTTTTACAAATTATATATGTAAAACCCAACAAACTTAAACATCACAAATTACAACAAATATCGTAATGGATTGACAAGTATGATTTGATGTTCTCGAAAGTTGTATTAATCTGAACAATTATGTAAAGTTAGTTCCAATGTGAGAACAACATGGTGTTTTTTGTCAATGAGGCAATGGGAAAGAAAACTCAATCTCAACCCAGAGTTAATTTGACGCTAAATGGTAGAGAGCAACCCAATTCAAATGATTTGTATGCATCGTTCAATACAAATATAGCAGAAAAAATGATACTACAAATATTGATTAAACAAATTTTCTTCCAGGATCTTTATATGATAAATCTGTGTTCGTTGACCCAACAAACTAAACAAAAATAATTAACATTACAAAATCACTCAACTCTAGTAAACCACACGGCCGTGTTAGAATAAGGACTACATTTCTTAAACAAATCATAATACTTCATTGTATACCCATTAGTTCCTTTAATAAATTGAACAATTTCAACGGATAAATGTCCAGATCTCATTAAAGTAGCAAAATTAATTGATTAAACGATCAGAAAAAAGAATAGAAATGTGTCATTTGTAAAATAGTATTCTTTGATCCCATTTGGTTCCGTACAATAAGGCATATATGGACCATACGACTACTGAATATCCCTGACTGCGAGCAGTCCTCTCATCAGAGCGGCGTCTAACCTCCCAGGCCAGTAGAGCAGGCGAGGAAACACGTTGCAGAAGGCATCCCGGCCATGCCTTTATTGATGCAATCCGACCAAGCCTTAGCCATGCCTTGCGCCGAAACTCCCGTGAGACGGGGAGGGTAGCTCAGGATACCATTCTACGCACATCGGAGGCCGTCGTGCGATGTTCATGGTCTAACATGTATTCATTGCAGGAATAGTTAAATTTCATTGCTGATGACGTTTAAATCTTTAGCATTTATGATTCAAGATCAATGTAGTGATGTGTATCCCGACACATCCCGTATAGCAATGGAATTGCGATAGAAAGGGAAGCCTAAAAGTATAATTGCAAGAACTTGGGGAAATGCATTCCACGTTCTGATGGTGTATGTGAAGAACGTCTTGTGAACGCCAACAGTTCTTGCATAGGGAATAAGGAACATGTGGAAGTGTCCGTCGTTAGGTGTGGCTGCGATGGGGCGTGTATAATCTTGAGTGGTTATAATAGGATCCAGGCTTCAAATTGAGTTTGATAAGTCATCTTTGTGGCACTTTCAAATAACGTTGGATGTAAATCGTTGTATCTCGCCGTCCTCTTCTTTTTAACATGAAAAAAGGTTCCAAAAATAGCATATCCAACTACATGTGGTCGCATCCCAAGGAATTGGTTCGCCACAGTTGCGACAATAGTTCTGAAAAAGGTGAAAAATAATATTTAATGAGTAGATTTCGTTCTTGTAATGTTAGGGTGGAAGAACTTCATTCACAATATCACCTCAAAAGGATAGCTCCTCAAATACAATCATAATCGAAATTTGACAAGAAATGGCTTTTTGAAAGTTGATTAAAAAAACTGCGTAATTTTTGTTTGAAATGTTACTTATTATATTCCTTTTAATGTACTAACCCTCTCAAATGCAAACAAAATCCTGAAAAAATCTTAAACTCTTATTTCAGTGTACAGTGCATGTGACATTCAGCAAAAAGGAATTTTTATCATCTTGATGGTTCAACAAAAAACTCTTTTGACATAACATTACTTAATGCTTAAGCAGCCTTCTTAATCGCTTCAAGACAGTTCATTTCGTAATGAAATCTCATAGCCAGAACGCGACTTTCTTTAAGAGACCAAGAAAAAGAGAAGATAGGCTATATAGAATAACAGTGGCATCTTCAAATATATAGCAAAACAGAAGATATTTTGTTACTTGATTCCTATTTTGGAATCACAAATTGCGTGTTTCCCGCAAACAAGTATATATATATATATATATATACGGTCACATTCGTCCTAAATAGGTTTTATGGTGTTTGTTTAAAAAAAATATATAATCAACATTAGATAAGATATAAAATATAATTTATGCAGGCACCTCGCCGCCAAATAAACATAAATATGAGAACATTCGGGCATTTTGTTGCCTAGAATTATCCCGTTTCTAAATGTTGCGAGCGAGTAAATCGAACATGGCAAAATTGCAATTTCAAAATAAAAGCTGCCTGAAATCATCCTGTTTCAGAATAATGCTACCGAGCGAGGAAAAATACACTTTTGTAAATCATATTATGCTTTGCCCTCGCAAAATTTCATACACTAGCGCTTTCTAATATTTTGTATTTTTACGAAATCGACGTTATTCCACGATAATCTTTGATGAAACTAAACTTCTTTCGCGGCATCCCTATCAATATTTTAAGGCACCCCGGTTAAAAAAAAACGCTGATCTAGATAACATTGCCTCTAATGATGCACATCATTTATATCTTTTGCATTACACGAATTATTTTGGTTAATACAAACATTTAATATCGTTTATAAAATTATAATACTCTCGACAAATTTGCTCAACACTACACGTAAATTATTAATTCCACGTCACTGCCCCACCGCCAACAACGAAAAGAAGAGAAAGAGGAATGAAGCCATTAAAGAATTATATTCAACAAATTATATCATTTCTATCAGTTAACGATAGATATCTAACCAATCTCACAATAAACACACAGGAAATGTATTTGTTCATATATTTACATGCCGTTTTGGTTCATTTGGTGTGGGTCCAGGCGTTGGTCTATCAGACATGTTGCATATAATGTCACTCTTCAATCCAACTCGCACAAATATCAAACTCGTTTTGACTCTCCTACGGCAACGAAATGAATGATTTACTTTCCCGTAAACACCACCACAATGTATAAACTAATGCATGTCTTAAAATCACAAACACGGGTGAATCCATTTTTCATGGGGATTTTTTGATAGGAGGGGGAGGGATGAAACCGTGCGAAAAGTATCACGTAAAAGATAAAGACCGGTAGTGGTAAAATTGCAGTTCAAGCGTTTTGGGTGCAAAATATCCATTCAATATTGTTTAAATATTGCCTTCAGAGGTTTAGATAGCAATACTTTAACCTAAATATGCAAAAAAACAAAAATATATATGCCCAAATGTTTAATGTTGAAGTGCATTCGCGATATCTATCCAGGTCGGTTCGATATGTTAATTTACCAATCATATCAATTAGTAGGCGGCTTCCCGGCAAAATTTGTATCATCACGTATTAGTCAAAACATATTTTTCCACATAATTGGTAATAAGAGCTTCCATTTCATTTTTTGAAAGGGGGCGTTTCCAAAACTGGGCCTTCACTCCCTCAGAGCACGAGTGGCTATACCGCCGCTGCCAGAGTTTCCGTGCCAGATAGGCTTTGGCAGAAGCACGGGCAATGGAGGAGTGAGAATCTATTCCCTGAAATCTATAATTAGACTTGAGAATCAGTTGTGTTAAGACAACGTAACGAGATTAAACAAAACAAGACCCCCCCCCCCCCCAGTCCAAATTGGGCTCATTTATCAGTTGTATACGAACGTTCAAAATTCATTATAGGAAACATTGTTGAAATATGTATAACAAAGAGTCAAGTGGACATGATTCGAACGGTTTATCCATATGAAAAAATTTGCTATCGATAGCTACGTTAAAATCGTGTTATATATCTAGTCTATTGGACATTCAATAAGAATTCAAATTGTTCATTTCTCCCCTATTCATTTTAGCTCCCGATCTTTGAATTATAGTAGTAGTCAAACTTTCCCACAATAATTGAAATGTGTTATTGTGTTATTTGTGTGTATTGCAAGTCACTAAGTATGACAAATGGAATAAGATGTGAAGTTATAGAACAGTTAATTGGTTGTCTGCGGGACGATTGTATATGCAAATGTTGTTTGTAGCGTTATTGAATGCATACTGATGTTGGGTCCGGGCCGTTGTCTCGATGGAAAGTAATTTGCATAGGTAGCTCGTACAGGTGTGCGAGCTAGGGTCGCCAAGGAGATTAGGGCGTGGTATCAATTAGTGTGCAATTGAATCATTCTAGTTGCAGTTTCCCCACCCGCTCTCTATCTATCTCTCTCTCTCTCTCTCTCTCTCTCTCTCTCTCTCTCTCTTTCTCTCTCTTTCTCTCTTCCCTTTTCTTTCTTTCTCTCTTTCTCTCTCCCTTTTTCTGTTTCATCCATCCTGATTGTACTTTTTATCAATGAATAATAGTTTGATTGTTAAAGTTACCATGTTTTACCTTATGCATTTTAGCAATTGTCACTGTGTTATTGTAATTTTTCCCAATTCGGCTTTGCCGCAATGAAAGTATTTTAATAAACCATTTTGAATTGAATTGAATGAATGTAGCTTGCGCTTTCAACAAGACAACTGTTGTTTACAATACAGGAGTGATATGTTATGTTATGTTAAGACATGGGTCATAAGGTTTTCCAGAGTTTTTATTTTCGTTAAGTTTTCCCTCTGGTTTTTAACCCTGGGTCATGTGTGGCCAGTTTCCTGAAGGAAACGACGACATTTAAACATTCATACGGAATAAACGGCCCGCTCCCAGTAGTCGTTGTCTATGTATCAAACGTTGTCAAGCTGTCATGCGTTGCATAAACAAATGAGTTTATAGGAATTAAAATAACGACGGCAGCACAAAAAACAAAACACTACAAAATATCAATAATATCAACAACAGCGATAATCATAATAATACACAATACCAGTAGCAGTAAATAATTATTAAAAACAATCATTATACAAAGAAGAAAAAAGGTAAAAGAAAGAAGAAGTATAGAAAAACGGAAACAACAAAAGGGAAGAAGAACAAGAAGAAAAGAATTAGAAGAAGAACAGGAATGAGAAGGAGGAGAAGGGGTAGAAGAAGAACAAAAACAATGACAGGACATTGTACCACGAAGGATCTATCACCTACATGATGTAGCATACATTTTCGGATGGAATTTACCCTTCATGTACATCCATGTAAAGAGTAAAAATGTTAGAAAGAATATACGTATATTTCGATGATATCATCTGCGTTTCCTATTTCTCCAGGATAGTTTGAAATTATGATAATTATCATTAGTCTGTAACCGTAGACAAAAGGGGAGGTGGTCTATGAATTACGTGCGGTTAACGCTATTGCTTTTCTTATCTTTTACTTTATCTTTATTTAAGGTTAAATATATAATTCGTCAAAAGGTTTGATATGTATCTCATTCCCATTTTCACCTTTTTTCTTTTACCAAAATGATGATCCTAATATTTACCCGAAACGAAAACTAATTGAAGTATGCAGTCAGATAAAATAAAATATTGTTAAAATATTATTCTTTAATCACGTGTGGTTCCGTACAATAAGGTATATGCATCATACGAGTACTGCATATCCCGGTCTGGAAGCAGTCCTCTCATTGAAGCGGCGTCTGTTCTCCCGGGCAGCTAGAGCAGGCGAGGAAACGCGTTGGAGAAGGTATCCCGATCATGCCTCTCTTGATGCAATCCCACCAAGCCTTAGCCATGCCTCGCGCCGAAACTCCGGCGAGCTAGTCGGGGAGGGTAGCCCACGATATCATCGGAGGCCTTGGTACAATGTTCAATATGAAGGATGTTATGCAAGGTCGCGTAGCGACCAAGCGAGAAGATGTTTTGCTTTTGTTTTAGTCTAAACGATGCACTCTTGGTCCCTCAAGAGCTTGAATTCTTCAGTCAGTATTTTCTATACATTTTTGTTTGCACTTTTTCAAATTTGCCGGGGGGGGGGGGACGACCCCCTAGCAAAATGGAAGGGGATGTGTCCCCCCCCCCCCCCGGGATCGCTGCCCTTGATTACAGGAATAATCTTTCTTGTCTCTCTCTCTCTCTCTCTCTCTCTCTCTCTTTACCCTTTTCCTCCCCTCTCTCTCCCACTCCCTTCACCCCTCTCATCCCCTCTCTCTTTCCGCATGCATCACTTTTATACTCTGTCTCTGGCACCCTATATTCTTACCTACCATTTCTTTTCTTTCATTTATGTATTCATTATTATTAACAGGTGAATATACCTTTCTCGTTTAAACTAAATGGAATGATAGCATTAATGATAATACATGTGCATCAAAATAATATCCTTATAAAGTAACGATATGCGTAAATGACACAAATAAAGTTAATAAAGGGTTCGTGTGAAGTTGCATTTAATAGAAAGAAAAACGAAGTGGAACGTCAAGTATCCATAAACAGTTTTTTAAATTCTTAGTTTTATTAATACAGCAAACGAATAATATCGTGTTGAATGAGAACGTGGTTCTAGTTCTCATAATGGTTCAGGATAGAAGATATGTTGTAAAGATCATAGGCCACGTTATGACCGATACTTTCTTAAAATTTCCTATTTATATTGAACTATAAAAGTGCAAAGTAACAATTTTACCACTTAATTTTTTTCAATCAGCTGTATTGCGCGAATTCAAATGAACCGATTTACCAAGCCGTGTATACGTCTTATTCAAGGATGGTTGAAAGAAAACTCACAGTAAGAGAAAGGATTCTATACAAATTAAGAAATAACGGTTTTACAATAAACGTCAATTAACATGAATACCATCATTGTGAATCGTGTAAACGCAAAAGGTATGGTAGCATAAGAATTTACGATTAATCGTGTCTCTCCAATGTTAATTGCATCTCATTCAATCAATCGCAACTAAGACAATGGCCTTGTACGTCCCTTTTTAAATGTGCAAACATTACAGTGAAATATCACGCAAGTATGAGACAAGGGACATACAATAGAGTATTGAGATTGCCCTTGCGTTGAGTTCATTTTTCGACAGATGTGGCGATCGTGTTTATCGTACTGTCGGCAGATATGGGGTGGAGAAGTATATTGCAGGTTAAGATGACTAGGTTGTCTTTGGGCAAAAACTTGCACACCACGAGGGTACTTGTGTATCCAATTAATTTTCGGTATTATCTTAAGCAACTTAATTAGCGTCCGAGGATAATATACATGTAGTAACTCCAAAATGGGCAAACTATTATTATTAAGTAGGCTTTTTTTACAGGGTCAACAATTTTGTTGGATACATAATACCTCCATGACAATGTTGTACACAGTATATTTAAGAGTTCAGCTAACAACAAGTCTTAACATCTAGCGGAGCTGGGTTCCCTTCACCACCAGCCTGCTAAAGGAATCTTGGGGTAGAGCATTCCACATCATGATGGTGTCTGCGAAGTAGGTCACTTGAAATCAGTTCTTGCATCGGAAATAAGGAACTTGTGGAAGTGTCCGTCGTTAGGTATAGCTGCGACGGGGCGTATATATTCTTGAGGGATTTTATCTCACAGGACACTGGCTTCAAATTGTGTTAGATAATTCATCTTTGTGACACTTTCAATATTAACGTTGGATAAAAGCCGTTGTATCAAGTCATCCTCATACTTTTACCATCCTCGGCGAATGTAATTAAGATAACATATCCTATTACAATAGGTCGCACCCTGAGTAGTAAATTTGCCACAGTTGAAACATCTCTGGAAAAGATAGGAAATAATAAATGATTTGATTTCTTTTCTTGTTAGAGTGGAAGAACGTCATACAAAATATCACCTCAAAACGATAGCTCCTCAAATACAGTAATAATCGAAATTTATCGAAATATCGAAATATGACAACAAATGGCTTAAAGTGAACCGGTGACAACGTTGAAGGTTGATTTTTTAAAAATGCGAAATTCGTGTATGAAATGTTTGTTATTATATTCCTTCTATACTGTACCACCCTCTTACATGCAAAAAATTCCGAAAAAATTCTCAAACCACAAAGATAGTTATGGTTTTCTTTGAAAGC